TACAGGAGGGACGTGAAAGGGTAGAGCAAGATTTGATATGCTCTTGAGTGGAAGATGCACAAGCTTATTCGTTCACGCCGACCGTTTACCGCCATAGTCGGATCGGGTGCAGTAAGGCGCATGTTGCAATGTTGTTCTATGCCGCATCAGACATCTCGCCTCTCAAACCTCCGACGAATCGACTTTTCTCACTCACGCGAGTGGCAGCATGCTGTTAGCAGTCGGTGCAGGCATTTATAAACACTCGCTACCTTGACTACACTCCATACCTTGTCAAGAAGTCTGCATGGATATGTTGGGTCTCAAAGACAACCTGTCTTTCCTTTCCTGGCTCTCCCGAGCTGAATCGCCTCCTTGCGCAGACGAAGCGTTGCGGGTGCGGGGCATTCGACAGGTCACCAAAAAGGTTGCTACGAAAGGCCTGGAGCTTTGGGGCCAACCCTCTGCGTCAAACTAGCAGCTCTTTGTGAAAATAAGTGTGCATGATCTCCTGTCCCTTCCATGCAGTACCTCGTTCAGCTGTTCTCTGCTGAATGTTGCTGTCCTACTTGACTGGTCCAAGTGTCGAATGCATTTACCACCTCCAACCCCTTCTAGAAAAAACGTGTTGATTGCGTGCTTGCTTTGACAAGGGGCTTCGGACATGATTGCCGTTGTGGTAGTGTGCGGTTTGTCTTGGCATTGCAGAAAGTCCAAGATCGGGCACAGTTGGGCTGTTGGCAGCTTTCTGCAAAGTGCTTTGGGTTTTGGCAACGGTGGCTCTTAAAGCATCCATGACAGCTTGCCCATTTCACGCTTCGCATGAGAACACAGCAACAGAGCAGTTGTTAGTTAGGCCATGACAGTCCTCACAGCATCCCAATGCAGAGTCCATCGTGGTGATGTAAGCATTCGTTGCATTCTTCCTTTCAGCTTCCATGGATCTTCGTTCGCACCGCGGTGCAGCATGAGGCTCGAAGCTTTAAGAGACTTTGGGTGGACATGTTACAGGCTGCACGTTTCTTGCCCGTCCTGCCCCTTTAGATGCTTGCGGTTGTTGCAAGAGAAGGCAGTCCTTGTCGATGCCCCAGGCCTTTCAGGATCTGAGCCCCGATTCGTCGTCGGGACGGAAGGCGCTGGGTCTGTCTTGTCATGTCTGTGAGGGCGCTTAGGGAAGCCTTGGGCACTGGAGGACACGCAGCTCCACTGCTTGGAAGTCGGATGGATTTTGGAGCCGCTGGAGCCTTTCTGCTTCAGGCACTCGCTGCTTCTGCCGGCGCCCTGACGGGAGGCTTGCTCTTGCGCAGGTGCCGGAGCCCTGGGCTTGAGCTGTGGTAGGATCTGGCCCATTATGTTGGGAACATTCTGTTGCACTGCACAGTAGACAGAGTCTTGGGCAGCAGCCCTTTGCTGTTTGGGTCCTGGCAGGTGTAGCTGAAGTTTGAGGACAGGATGGCCTGGAGTGTGAATGCTCAGGCTGAGGCATACTCATGAGTACGTCCCTGAGCCTTCACCTGCTGACACACTACAAAGTCCGACGCATCGTGTATTGAAACATTGGTTGCCAAGATAAGATTGCATATTGGCTGCACTGCCAACATTCATACAGCACGGCCCCGCCCTTTTTCGCACAAGGCTGGTGTAAGTTTGAAGCTTCAGGTTTGCCTCACAAGACCGGACATCGCTGACAGAGAAAACACGCTTTTCCTTCGATGCTGGGTCACCGAGAAGCGGCCACACGGTTGGGCCTTCGGCAGGTGTGCTTGTTGACAGTGATAATGAGTCTCGTTCGCATCGCGCGCATGCTGGAAATGCCAAACTACGACTTCTTTGCTTTGCCCTGATAACCTCAAGCTTGAAAGCTCAGCTCACTTGTAAGCTCGGGGCATTGACTAAATGCGGCTTGCGCAGGACCCGCTGCACCTGTCTTCATGGAGATGATACAAATCCTTGCAAAGCTCAATGCCCAGGAACCCGCGCTCTTTCTGAAGCCCCGTCAACCGTATCGTATCAACCAACCTTCCGACTTCAAGCTGCCCCGATCAATGTTGCAAGAGCTAACGGGAATGCTTCAGCATGTTTTGAAGGCAAAAGATCGACACCTCCAGCCATTGCCGGGTCTTCGCCAAGTCGAGGAAGTTATGTTGTGCTGCATCGTCCATGAGAGCGCACGCCCGGAGCGGAACAGTCTCGAAAACGAACGTGCGCGACCCTTCCAAAATGAGCTGCAGTATTGGCGTGCGCGAAGGCGAAATGGAATCTTCACGAATTCTGTTCAGGGTGGCCTCCAAAAAAGTTGTCTACGACGTTAGATCTGGCGAATGTGGTGCTTCTCAGAGATGTATGTTTCTGATTGAAGTGCTGTGGTCCTTGATCTACAATGCCAAAACTTGGCGTCTGCTGACTTACAAGGCTCCAAGCATACCTGCGAAGGAAATTGCCGGTCTAAACACTCCAAAACGGACGTCCTTTGACAAAGCATTCTGGCACTGATGCAGGAAAGCCTGGTAAGTTCATATCGGACGCATTGGAAGCCGCCAAAAGCATAAATGCCGCATCATTGTGTTTAGTGGGTTGCGAAATCACAAACAAAACATCATCACCAATCATCATGATGTAACTCCATCATCATAAAGTCCGCATCGTCACCATCGCATCGTCTGCATCATTATCATTTTTCATCACCATCATCGTCATCATCATCATGGTCATCATCATCATGGCCATCATCCACCATCACCATTATCACCGTCATGATCATCAACATCATCATCATGATGCTTCAAGATCATAATCCTTTTCATCAGCATGAAAATCATTCTCACGTGAACCCTCGAAACCGAATGTACTGCGTTCTAAATCCATGTCGCATGCTACAATGCCGAACTGCAAGCATCCAACTAATTCGAAAGCAATGGTTGGAGAGTTTTACAAGAACTATCGCGGACTATGCGGCGGCAGCAAGCGAAGCCTGGGTACCAACCTGCAGAGTTACGTTAGAAAGAAATACACGGAAATGCACATGGGCATCCGAGGACCCTTCAGCGAAAGAGGCTTCCAAGCCTTCGAAGCCTTCGAAGGTGAAGCGTCGAAGGGGAGGGGGGAGGGAGGGGGCGCTGAAGGGAGGAAGGCTTCGAACTTCGAAGGGGGAGGGCGAAGGCTTCAAAGGCTTCGAAGGTGAGGACGAAGGCTTCGAAGGCTTAGGGTGAAGACGAAGAGGGCTTCGAAGGCTTCAAAGGAAGGATGAAGGGGTGGGAGGCTTCGAAGCGTGAGGACCCAAAATCGTTCTCGTGTGGCTGTCTCCTTTTGTATGCAGACACAGATTTCTTCTTTTCACTTTTGTTTTTCTGCTTTTTGTTATTGTTTTGCTTTTTTGGGCCAAAAAGTCAGATTTCTTCTTTCAGTGAACGTCAGATTCAGTTTTTTGATTTTTTGTTTTTTTCGTTTTTCTGCCCCCAAAAACTTTTGTGTGGCTGTTCTCTTTCGTGTGCGGACAAGCCTTTGCTGGACGTTAGATACTTTTTTCTTCATTTTGCTCCGTTTTAAGCCACCAAAAGCGTTTCCGTGTGGCTAATCCCTAAATGTGAGACGCCCGCTAAAAAAGAAAAAAGAAAGAAAGAAAGAAATAACGTCTTTCAAAAAAAGAAGAGCCCAGAATTTTGGCCTAGCCAAACTCCAAGCCCCTTGGGCGGGAAAGGGAGAGGCTTCGAAGGCTTCAAAGCTGTTGACGAAGGGGCTTCATCCTCCTTTAAAGGCTTCGAGGCTAAAGCTCCGGGGTAACAACGAAGGAGCTTTGAAGGCTTCGAAGGCGAAGACGAAGGGCTTCGTCCTGGAAGCCTTCGAAGGTTTCAAAGCTCCCCCAGGGTTCAGGCCTTTCAGCGCGAAGAGGCTTCAAAGTCTTCGACCTTCAGCTCGAAGACTTCGAAGCCAAGACAAAGATGAAGCCCTTCGTTCTAGAATCGCATTGTTACTGAGTGAGTTTTCGAGTAGATTGATGAAACCCGATTGAAACCACTTTTTTTGGCTGAAAAAATGAAAGATTCTGTTAGAAGGCCATCGCCCGCAATTGCTTGTATCAAGTGGAAGGAAAGCTGCCACCTGCTGCAAGAAAACAGTGGAAAGCCGACCAGCACTGCATGGTGCTTGCATGCCAGCCTTGTTGCTGTTTTTGAAAAATGTCCACATGTGCAGCGATGCAATGCTTGTTTCTTTGCCGTTGTTTCGCGCCCATGCATTTTCTCTTGTTTCGTGTTTTCATATTCATCTTGACTTTTTTCTTTCTTTTGTTAAGTCTTATTGCTTGGAAATTGTTTTTGTTTTGTTCCTTTGTTTGCTTTTTCTTCAGATTGCAATTTGTTGTGAAACACACTTGTGTGTGTAGGGACACGTTCGGCGATCGACGCATCCGCCGCAGCATTCGCGGCTTTGCGTCGACGCCCCCCGACTTTCAGCTTTTCTGCTAGCCTCGTCCCTGGCGCCATGTCGTCGACTCCGTCCTCGACCGAGATCTCGACGGCTGCCGGCATTTTGCAGGCGGCCTTGGACAGCGGAGTCGACCTGGCGATCCACTTCGGCGGGTGGACCAGGTTGCAGAGGCGAGCGCTGGCGATGGCTTTGGGGGCGTCGGAAGCCGCATATGCCGATGCCAAGGCTGCGGCGGCGGCGCCGGCTGTGAAGAAGGCCCCGGCTCGGCCTCCGGTGGATGTCGCTCCGGCCAAGGCGGCGTCACCGGCACCATCAACAGTGACCCAGCCGGCGTCCGAGCCTATGGGTCACCTTGATTCGACTGCCGGCGGTCAGTCGGCCGTATTCGGAAAGTCGCCTCCCCCGGCGACCTGGCGTGAAGTGGGGTTCCAGACCAGGGAGCACGCCGAGGCGGCGGCGGCCATGAACTACGTGTCGGCCCTGGCGTTCTATGCTGCCATGGGGCGGGGCGAGCTGCAGGTGGGACCTCAGCAGGCAGCGTCGTCCTCCGGCGACCAGGCTGGCCCTCTGGATGGCTACCTGGCGGAGGCCGACGCCAAGGCGGCAGAAGACAGGCGGATGCGCGAGATCCAGGAGCGCATCGCCGGCGAAATCCGGCAGGATGAGGCCGATCGGGAAGCGGCGTCGGGGTCGGGATCCAGACCGGCGCAGCCAAGGGCTCGCTTCCCACAGCCGGCCACGACACCGGCGCCGGTCCAGGCACGCTATCCGAATGCCAACGCGAGACCGGCGAGGGGTTCCCGGCACTCCCCCGCAAGCCGGCTCGCAATGCGTCGGCGGCGGCGCAGGCGGCCGAAGTCACCGGGACGGCGAGCTGCTGGAGGTCGCCGTTGACGATCGGCTCCGTGGACTGAGCGCCGGGAGCCTCCATCGCGCGGATGTGGGCGCGCCACTCCGCCGAGCACAGCTGCTTCCGCTCCTCGACGAGCGTCCTGTACTCTCTGTCGGCAGCTGGAGTCACCACGGGCACCGGCAGAGGAGATGGAAGCAGATGGCCTGGTCTTCCACGAGGCGGTGACGTCGGGCCGGCTACGGTTGCCGTGCGCCACCACGCCGGCTGAGGATGACCAGGAACGACCGGCGCCCAAACGGGTCCGGCAGAAGCTGCCCGAACCGGCCAAGGCGAGATGGGCGGCAGACGGCCGACGCTTCGCCCCCTGGCACTACGTCGAGGAGGCGATGATGCATGACTCAGCCGGCCGGCTGCGCATCATCCCACCGCGGCCAAGGAGAAGCTGCACATGCTGCCCCCCGGCTACACGGCGGCCGATTTCCTCGACGACCGGGCCCGGCACAAGAGCCAACGGTTGGCATTGGGGAGTGGCGCGCCGGCTGCTGGCTATGTTGGTGGTTCTGACGGCGGCGGGCCCGGTGCAGGCGGCACCGGCCCCGGAACCCAGGCGGTCCACGATGCAGTGGATGGTCGAACAGTTCGGCGGCGGCCCAGTGCCCATGGAGCCACCGCCGCGCCTGCGACCGGACCTGGAACTGCCCGACGACGACCCGGACATGCAGCTGTGGACGCACTGGCGCCACGAGGTCACCCGGTTGCGACGGGAGGTGCTGGTCGAGCTGGCGCAGCTGGTCCAGGACATGCGGGAGACCACGGACGAATGGTTGGCGGCGCGGTCGGCGCCGGTCCGGTCTACCTACACGGTGCCCGGTAAGACCCGGCACACACAGATCCCCGTCGTGCTGCACCTCCTGCAGATGGTCGGCTACCCGGACGTGGCAGGCATGACGTCGGACCTCACAGACGGCTTTGACATGCTGGGCGAGGTCGGGCGCGGACCGGGCTGGAAGCCGCGGACAGACGGCCGATACTCCAACCCGGCGTCGCTAGATACCTTGGCGTCGGTGAACTGGAACTACGTCAGGGATCGCACGTCGAGACCCAAGACTGGCGAGTACACTGATAAACTCCTGGCGGAGCTGGTGGACGAGACCCGACTTGGTCGCGTCGTCGGCCCCACCCGGCCCCCGGCTGGGTGGAGCATCACTACTGTACCTTTGGTTGACGTGGCTGGCGCCGACAGACTGGTGCCACCGCCACCCGGCCGTCACTTCGCGGCGGCGTCGTTCCCCATCATCCAGGAGGATGAGAACGGCGCCACCAAGGTACGAAGAGGCGAAGATTGGCGTCGAGCCGGCCACAATGCTACGGTGAGGGCGCATGATGTGCCAACACATCACTTCGTCGACGACTACGTCGACATTATCCGCCGGGTCGTCGAGCTGGTCGGCCCGGAGCAGGCGGAGGCCCTACGCATTTTCGGCCACGACCTCCTCAATGCTTACCGGCAGTGGCCGGTAAAAGAACCGGCGCACTCCGGCACATTCTTGCC